CCGCCCCCACCCACCCACCCGGGCCGCCGGCCACCCGGCTCGGCCCCGCGGCGGACGCTGGGTGCTGGACGCTGGGACCCCGGTGCGGCTGGGGTCGGAACAGGTTGTCTGAGACCGATCTGCCTCCACTTACCTGCAGAAGAGACGCTGGACCCCGGGTCCAAAGTATTTGGGATCTCAGGGACCCCCTAGCCCTTCAGATGCCTGGATTCGACCTCTCTACAGAGTGACCCGACTCTGAACGGAGACGTCGTCGTCGTCGTCGGGGGAAGAAGAGGAGGAGGAAGGAGCCCCTGGAATCCAGATCCCAGGCCCAGGGAAACTAAAATCACCCTGGGCAGGTGGGGGCGGAGCCGGAGGCGCGGGGCGGAGGCTCCGGGGACCGGGAGGCGACCGGGATTGTTTTTCTGCCCTTCGGAGCCCGCGCGGCAGCAGGTGTGGGGGTGGGGAGAGTGGGAAGGGGGGGGGAGCGGGGGTAAGGACCTGGAGTGCAAAGCCGACCGGGAGTCCTGACTTACCTGGGGGGGAGGGGCTGGAAAAAGGGGAGATGGCCCGCCCCCTCCCCGCACGCCCCTCCTCGCTCGCCGCTGGCCAGGTCATTGGCCCAGCCCGGGGGCCCGGCCGCTCTGGGGCCCACCCCCTCGGGCAAAGGGCGCCGGGAAGGGCGCGCAGAAGCCAGGCCAAGGGGACTGTCTAGCCACCTGCCTGAGCTAACCCTTGGCCTCCAGTCGCCAGTCTGGTCTCCTCCAGAGGCACCCAGAGTCTTGTGTTTTTTCCTCTCCCTTCTGAGCAAGGCCTGGTGTTCTCGCTTTCCACTTCTCAAATCGCAGGGGTTTAAAACCGGGTTCCCAACGGGAGGAGTCACAGCGATCTGGGGAAAACTGGAGGCCAGGTGCCGGGGAGTCCAGTTCGAGCAATTAACGCTAGCTTTCGGGGTAAACAACACCGGGGATCCGGAAGAGGGGCAGGGAGGCCAAGATCAAAGGCAAAGACACGGGCCACCTCCAAGCTAGATGAGGGTGACAGTTGGGAAAATAAACAATCCATGGGGTGAGAGGTCTGCTCCCGGGGAGCTCGGAGGAGTGGCCTCCACCCCAACTTTCTCCAAACAGTTTTCCTAGAAAAACCAGTAGGCCAAGCAAAGGGGCGGGGGGGGGGGGGGG